GAGTGAGCATGCAGGGGAGGGGCACTTCCGGTGAGCGACCGCCTGGGGACCCGCGGGAGGGGCACTTCCGGTGAGTGGGACCCGCGGGAGGGGTACTTCCGGTGAGTGGGACCCGCGGGAGGGGCACTTCCGGTGAGTGAGCATGCAGGGGAGGGCTACTTCCGGTCCCGGGACCCGCGGGAGGGGCACTTCCGGTGAGGGAGCGTGCAGGGACGGCCGCTTCCGGTCCCGGGACCCGCGGGAGGGGCACTTCCGGTGAGTGACCATGCAGGGGAGGGCCACTTCCGGTGAGGAGTTACCAGGGAACCCGCGGGAGGGGCACTTCCGGTCCCGGGACCCGCGGGAGGGGCACTTCCGGTGAGTGAGCATGCAGGGGAGGGCGACTTCCGGTCCCGGGACCCGCGGGAGGGGCACTTCCGGTGGCAGGGACCCGCGGGAGGGGCACTTCCGGTGAGTGGGACCCGCGGGAGGGGCACTTCCGGTGAGTGAGCATGCAGGGGAGGGCTACTTCCGGTGAGCGCCCGCCTGGGGACCCGCGGGAGGGGCACTTCCGGTCCCGGGACCCGCGGGAGGGGCACTTCCGGTGAGTGAGCATGCTGGGGAGGGCTACTTCCGGTCCCGGGACCCGCGGGAGGGGCACTTCCGGTGAGTGGGACCCGCGGGAGGGGCACTTCCGGTGAGTGAGCGTGCAGGGGAGGGCTACTTCCGGTGAGCGCCCGCCTGGGGACCCGCGGGAGGGGCACTTCCGGTGGCAGGGACCCGCGGGAGGGGCACTTCCGGTGGCAGGGACCCGCGGGAGGGGCACTTCCGGTGGCAGGGACCCGCGGGAGGGGCACTTCCGGTGAGTGAGCGTGCAGGGGAGGGCCACTTCCGGTGAGCGCCCGCCTGGGGACCCGCGGGAGGGGCACTTCCGGTGAGGGAGCATGCAGGGGACGGCCGCTTCCGGTCCCGGGACCCGCGGGAGGGGCACTTCCGGTGAGGGAGCATGCAGGGGAGGGCGACTTCCGGCCCCGGGACCCGCGCCGGGGCGCTTCCGGCCCCCCCCCCCCCCCCCCCCGGTCCCCGAGCGCACCTGGTTCCCGGCGGCCCCCGCGCGGCCGCAGCAGCTGCGCCGCCAGCTCCGCGAGCCCCAGCGCGTAGACGCGCAGCGCCGCCCACAGCCGCAGCCACATGCCGCCGCCGCGCTCCCCGCGCCGCGCCTGCGCCCCGCACGCACGCACGCACGCACGCACGCCACGCCCCCCGCGCGCGGCGCCAATCAGCGGCGATCGCCACGCCCCCTCACGCTATGCACAGGGAGCATAAGCCACGCCCCCTGGCGCTATGGATTATGAGCGTAGGCCACGCCCCCAGACGCTACGCACAGCGAGCGCAGGCCACGGCCCCTCACGCCACGCACAGCGAGCGCAGGCCACGCCCCCTCACAGTACGCATAGGGAGCGCAGGCCACGCACCCTGGCGCTAAGCACAGGGAGCGCAGGCCACGCCCCCTGGCGCTATGGCAACAGAGCGCAGGCCACGCCCCCTGGCGCTATGCACAGGAGCGCAGGCCACGCCCCTTGGCGCTATGGCAACAGAGCGCAGGCCACGCCCCCTGGCGCTAAGCATAGGGAGCGCAGGCCACGCCCCCTCACGCTACGCACAGGGAGCGCAGGCCACGCCCCCTGGCTGTCTGGATAGGGAGCGCAGGCCACGCCCCCTGGCTGTCTGGATAGGGAGCGCAGGCCACGCCCTCTGGCTATGTGGATAGGGAACGCAGGCCACGCCCCCTGGCGCTATGGCAACACAGCGCAGGCCACGCCCCCTGGCTATGTGGATAGGGAGCGCAGGCCACGCCCCCTCACGCTATGCACAGCGAGCGCAGGCCACGCCCCCTGGCGCTATGGCAACAGAGCGCAGGCCACGCCCCCTGGCGCTAAGCATATGGAGCGCAGGCCACGCCCCCTGGCGCTATGGCAACAGAGCGCAGGCCACGCCCCCTGGCGCTAAGCATAGGGAGCGCAGGCCACGCCCCCTGGCTATGTGGATAGGGAGCGCAGGCCACGCCCCCTGGCTATCTGGACAGGGACTGCAGGCCACGCCCCTTGGCGCTATGGCAACAGAGCGCAAGCCACGCCCCCTGGCGCTAAGCATAGGGAGCGCAGGCCACGCCCCCTGGCTATGTGGACAGGGACTGCAGGCCACGCCCCCTGGCGCTATGGCAACAGAGCACAGGCCACGCCCCCTGGCGCTAAGCATGGGGAGAGCAGGCCACGCCCCCTGGCGCTAAGCATAGGGAGCGCAGGCCACGCCCCCGGGCTATCTGGATAGAGAGTGCAGGCCACGCCCCCTGGCGCTAAGCATAGGGAGCGCAGGCCACGCCCCCTCTCGCTAAGCATAGGGAGCGCAGGCCACGCCCCCTGGCTATCTGGATAGGGAGCGCAGGCCACGCCCCCTGGCTGTCTGGATAGGGAGCGCAGGCCACGCCCTCTGGCTATGTGGATAGGGAACGCAGGCCACGCCCCCTGGCGCTATGGCAACACAGCGCAGGCCACGCCCCCTGGCTATGTGGATAGGGAGCGCAGGCCACGCCCCCTCACGCTATGCACAGCGAGCGCAGGCCACGCCCCCTGGCGCTATGGCAACAGAGCGCAGGCCACGCCCCCTGGCGCTAAGCATATGGAGCGCAGGCCACGCCCCCTGGCGCTATGGCAACAGAGCGCAGGCCACGCCCCCTGGCGCTAAGCATAGGGAGCGCAGGCCACGCCCCCTGGCTATGTGGATAGGGAGCGCAGGCCACGCCCCCTGGCTATCTGGACAGGGACTGCAGGCCACGCCCCCTGGCGCTATGGCAACAGAGCGCAGGCCACGCCCCCTGGCGCTAAGCATAGGGAGCGCAGGCCACGCCCCCTGGGTCTGTGGATAGGGAGCGCAGGCCACGCCCCCTGGCTGTCTGGATAGGGAGCGCAGGCCACGCCCCCTCACGCTACGCCTACGGAGTGCAGGCCACGCCCCCTGGCGCTGTGCATACGGAGCGCAGGCCACGCCCTCTGGCTGTCTGGATAGGGAGCGCAGGCCACGCCCCCTGGCTATGTGGATAGGGAGCGCAGGCCACGCCCCCTCAGGCTATGCACAAGGAGCGCAGGCCACGCCCCCTGGCTGTCTGGATAGGGAGCGCAGGCCACGCCCCCTGGGTCTGTGGATAATGAGCGCAGGCCACGCCCCCTGGCGCTCTGCACAGGGAGCGCAGGCCACGCCCCCTGGGTCTGTGGATAATGAGCGCAGGCCACGCCCCCTGGCGCTCTGCACAGGGAGCGCAGGCCACGCCCCCTGGCTGTCTGGATAGGGAGCACAGGCCACGCCCCCTCACGCTATGCACAGGGAGCGCAGGCCACGCCCCCTGGCTATCTGGATAGGGAGCGCAGGCCACGCCCCCTGGCGCTATGGCAACAGAGCGCAGGCCACGCCCCCTGGCGCTAAGCATAGGGAGTGCAGGCCACGCCCCCTGGCTATGTGGATAGGGAGCGCAGGCCACGCCCCCTGTCGCTCTGGCGAGGGAGTGCAGGCCACGCCCCCTGGCTCTATGGATACTGAGCGCAGGCCACGCCCCCTCACGCTACGCCTACGGAGTGCAGGCCACGCCCCCTGGCGCTGTGCATACGGAGCGCAGGCCACGCCCTCTGGCTGTCTGGATAGGGAGCGCAGGCCACGCCCCCTGGCTATGTGGATAGGGAGCGCAGGCCACGCCCCCTCACGCTACGCATAGTGAGTCCAGGCCACGCCCCCTGGCTATCTGGATAGGGAGTGCAGGCCACGCCCCCTGGGTCTGTGGATAATGAGCGCAGGCCACGCCCCTTGGCTGTCTGGATAGGGAGTGCAGGCCACGCCCCCTGGCTATGTGGTTAAGGAGCGCAGGCCACGCCCCCTGGCTATCTGGATAGGGAGTGCAGGCCACGCCCCTTGGCGCTATGGCAACAGAGCGGAGGCCACGCCCCCTGGCTGTCTGGATAGGGAGCGCAGGCCACGCCCCCTGTCGCTTTGGCTAGGGAGCGCAGGCCACGCCTCCTCACTGTCTGGATAGGGAGCGCAGGCCACGCCCCCTCACGCTACGCCTAGGGAGTGCAGGCCACGCCCCCTGGCAGTCTGGATAGGGAGCGCAGGCCACGCCCCCTGGCGCTATGGCTAGGGAGCGCAGGCCACGCCCCCTGGCGCTCTGGCTAGTGAGCTCAGGCCACGCCCCCTGGCGCTCTAGGCCACGCCCCCCGGCTCTGTGGCTCCTGAGCGCAGGCCACGCCCCCTGGCTGCCACTCCGTGTCTGTAGCCACGCCCTCAGGGCTCAGGCCACGCCCCCTGGGCCCAGGTTCTGAGTTCAAGGTCCAGGCTGTGAGTTCAAATCCCACGTCTGCACTTCAGTGCAAGGCCTGTGTGCAAGGCTCAGGCCCCGAGTGCGAGGTTCAGGCCCCGAGTTCGAGGTTCAGGCCCCGAGTTCGAGGTTCAGGCCCCGAGTTCGAGGTTCAGGCCTTGATTTCGAGGTTCAGGCCCCAAGTTCGAGCCAAGGCCCCGAGTGCGAGGTTCAGGCCCCGAGTGCGAGGCTCAGGACCCGAGTGCGAGGTTCAGGCCCCGAGTTCGAGGTTCAGGCCCCGAGTTCGAGGTTCAGGCCCCAAGTTCAAGGTTCAAACCCTGAGTTCGAGGTTCAGGCCCCGAGTTCGAGGTTCAGGCCCCGAGTTCGAGGTTCAGGCCCCGAGTTCGAGGCTCAGGCCCCGAGTTCGAGGTTCAGGCCTTGATTTCGAGGCTCAGGCCCCGAGTTCGAGGCTCAGGCCCCGAGTTCGAGGCTCAGGCCCCGAGTGCGAGGTTCAGGCCCCGAGTGCGAGGTTCAGGCCCCGAGTTCGAGGTTCAGGCCTTGATTTCGAGGCTCAGGCCCCGAGTTCGAGGCTCAGGCCCCGAGTTCGAGGCTCAGGCCCCGAGTGCGAGGTTCAGGCCCCGAGTGCGAGGTTCAGGCCCCGAGTGCGAGGTTCAGGCCTTGATTTCGAGGTTCAGGCCCCGAGTTCGAGGTTCAGGCCCCGAGTTCGAGGTTCAGGCCCCGAGTGCGAGGTTCAGGCCTTGATTTCGAGGTTCAGGCCCCGAGTTCGAGGTTCAGGCCCCGAGTTCGAGTCCAGACCCCGAGTTCGAGGTTCAGGCCCCGAGTTCGAGGTTCAGGCCCCGAGTGCGAGCCAAGGCCCCGAGTGCGAGGTTCAGGCCTTGATTTCGAGGTTCAGGCCCCGAGTTCGAGGTTCAGGCCCCGAGTGCGAGGTTCAGGCCCCAAGTTCGAGCCAAGGCCCCGAGTGCGAGGTTCAGGCCCCGAGTTCGAGGTTCAGGCCCCGAGTGCGAGGTTCAGGCCCCGAGTTCGAGGTTCAGGCCCCGAGTGCGAGGTTCAGGCCCCGAGTTCGAGGTTCAGGCCCCGAGTGCGAGGTTCAGGCCCCGAGTTCGAGGTTCAGGCCCCGAGTGCGAGGCTCAGACCCCGAGTGCGAGGCTCAGGCCCCGAGTGCGAGGTTCAGGCCCCGAGTGCGAGGTTCAGGCCTTGATTTCGAGGTTCAGGCCCCGAGTGCGAGGTTCAGGCCCCGAGTTCGAGGTTCAGGCCTTGATTTCGAGGTTCAGGCCCCGAGTGCGAGGTTCAGGCCCCGAGTTCGAGGCTCAGGCCCTAAGTTCGAGCCAAGGCCCCGAGTGCGAGGTTCAGGCCCCGAGTTCGAGGTTCAGGCCCCGAGTGCGAGGCTCAGGCCCCGAGTGCGAGGTTCAGGCCCCGAGTTCGAGGTTCAGGCCCTGAGTGCGAGGCTCAGGCCCCGAGTTCGAGGTTCAGGCCCCGAGTTCGAGGTTCAGGCCCCGAGTGCGAGGTTCAGGCCTTGATTTCGAGGTTCAGGCCCCGAGTTCGAGCCAAGGCCCCGAGTTCGAGGTTCAGGCCCCGAGTTCGAGGTTCAGGCCTCGAGTGCGAGGTTCAGGCCCCGAGTGCGAGGTTCAGGCCCTGAGTTCGAGGTTCAGGCCCCGAGTGCGAGGTTCAGGCCCCGAGTTCGAGGTTCAGGCCTTGATTTCGAGGCTCAGGCCCCGAATACGAGGTTCAGGCCTTGATTTCGAGGTTCAGGCCCCGAGTTCGAGGTTCAGGCCCCGAGATCGAGGTTCAGGCCCCGAGTGCGAGGTTCAGGCCCCGAGTGCGAGGTTCAGG